GCTGCAAAAAGACAATATATGAATCCTGCACGTTCTGCGTGTCTGTGGAAATCAGGCGCAGACTGGCCATCGGGAGAACCAGGACAATTCCCGATGGCCTGGCAGCCGATTTGGCCTGCTATTTTAATATTGTTATTGTATAATTGCCTGCTGAATGTACTAAAGCGATTATTTCCGAATTCGCAGACAAATAATCATATTTTATAATAGGTTTAGGGGGAGCTAGGGCAGACAACAACACAACCCTTACGAAAATGAATGATGATTTTACTATAAATCCAATGACAATGGTTACTATTGTTAAACCATGGTAACCACAAATTAACCATGGTTTTTGCTACACTAACCATAATTTAACCATGTAATTTGTAGTGAAAATAAATACAAATGGTAATCAATTTGACAAAAAAAACAAAAAAAACATGCTTTTACTATAATAAAAGCATGGTTAATTTTGTAAGGGAAAACATGACTCATGTTCAGTATTAGGATTTTTCTATAAAGATATTGTAGTGATGTACTAATTTTGACATGTAGGCAATTTAGAAAGTATAGTTTTGTTAAATCTTGAGTATTAAAGTCATGAGAGAGATAGATATCAGGGCAAAATAAAGAGACTGAAAAGAAAAATGGAAGTGAAGGTGCAGTTCAGGAGAGAACTTTTAATTATTTTGCATGTCCCCAACCTAAGGATTTAAACCTTTTTTATGTGAGGTCCATACAAAAAATAGGGTTGTCCATGTTTCAGAATTTGTTGTGGGTGTATGAGTGTGAGATTTCCCGGCCTGAATTTTTTCCCAGTCCAACCCTCGTGGAAATTAATGGCGCAGACATGCGGTTTCATTTAATACACATAGGCCTACTGAAGCTAAAAAAAGACACCAATGTTTCAGGAGTTTAGTACACAGAATAGGACACATGATTTAGTTTAGTTTCAAAAACAGTATTAGTAAACTATTTCTTATGATTTTAAATTTGCATTGAACTTCAGATCAATCTCAAAGTAAAAGGCGGTACTAAAGTCTGATTTTGTGGTGGGGGTGTTCAAATTTGATCATCTTAATTCAAGTGATGAAGGATTTTGAAAGTCTGACAGTGTTGAGCACTACTGTAAGGTTAATCCTGCATGGTGTAAGTGTTTGAAAATGATTAACAGTTGCAAATAAACATTCATTAGAAATTTAGAAAAGTAATCAAAAAGTAATCAAAAGTAATCAGTTACATTACTTTAATAAAGTAATTGAAAAAGTTACACTACTATTACATTTTAAATAGGGTAACTTGTAATATGTAACCAATTACATTTCCAAAGTAACCTTCCCAACACTGCTTGTGATCCTATCTACATCGGAAACAAGCGTTGTTGCATTGTGTCGTGAATCAATTTCTTGTCAGAAGCAGTACGAGCGCTTGGAGTACGTCAGAAATAAATCATACGTCACAGCAGCGCTCATCTGTTATTTTAATATGCAAAAATGTTAGCCAATCATAGCAGTGGGCATTTACTTCCGATTTTTGAATGTGACCTGCCTATAAAAACAGACTATTCTGCAGAGAGGGTCAAAAGTAGGAGAGAAAATAGCCTATTGCTCCTAAATTATACTTTTTGATGTAGAAATCTTGTAAAAATGGCTAATTTCATGGAACTCAGAGAACATTATAAAATAATAAAAAATGCAGTCCATGACGCCTTTAAGCTGAATGTAAGCACATCACACCAGTCTTGATTTCATTGCATTGGCTCTCTGTTAAATATAGAGTAGATTTTTTAAATTTTATGGTTTGTATTAAAATCCCTCCATAACCAGGCAGCTGACTTGCTGCACTCATACATTCCGTCGCAATCTCTTAGATCTGGTGAATCTGAAATACTTTGCATTCCTAAATCCAAACTTAAGAAGAGAGGTGATCGTGCCTTTGCTCATGTTGGACCTAATCAATGGAACAGCCTTCCGGCCCACATAAGAAGTGCTTCAGTTAATTCATTTTTTAAATCTAAACTTAAAACCTATTTATTTTCTTTGGCTTTTAATATTCCGTGATCCCCCTTATACATACCAGTTTCTTTCTTTATTTTTTACTATCATTTTTAACTGTATTGCTTTTGATTATTGATATGTCTTCAGAATCAGAATCAGAATTAGAATGAGCTTTATTGCCAGGTATGTTTACACATACGAGGAATTTGTTTTAGTGACAGAAGCTCCACAGTGCAACAGAATGACAGTGACAAGACAGGACACTGTATACTGAATAATATAAAAATAGACAAAATAGACAATGTACAAAAAAGCAAAAACACAATATATAATATAGACAATTTTGTATGTACAGGTATGATATGTGCAAATTTGAAATGTAAATGAGTATGTGTGTTAAATAAATAATTCTGCCTGTAGGTCGGTATAAGATGAACTAAACAGTGATCAGAGTGCCCCAAAGCTGCCCGTGGGACGGAGCAATATGCATCCTTTATTGTGGTGTAACAGTGATCCAATATATTACCGTCTCTGGTGGGACATGTAACATGCTGTCAGTCACAATAAAATCTATAACATGCACTTAAAAAATAGAAGAGTTTAGTGTGAATTCTCATTTCATGTCAAAAAACAAACAAAAAGATCCTGTATTTGGTTGTCTCTGACCATCTTTCAGAGGGTGAACATTTCAGCTCTGCTGATGAATGATGAATGTTTCAGGTCATGGAAAGTCCACTGACAATGAATCATTTTGCAGGCTTTGGAGGCTTACATGAGCGAGATAATTCAGCACTTCAGAAGAACCATTTGACCTCTGTAACCTTCAAGTGTGCACACTGAAGTCAAATGTAAAGACCAAATGATTCAATTTAATGGGGCACTGAAAAAGGTTCGATGACCTGTATGGTGCATGGTAACAGCAAAAACACTTTGACATTTACTAAATGGCATTTCAATGACTTTAAAACATTTCATGACACCAAGGTGTGAGAAAATGTGATTCTTATTTTTTCAATGGCCTGCAGTTGTCAATGTGTTAAATATAAATAGGCATATGGTGCGAAACAAGATTAATTCTAAAATCTTACACTAGGATTTCCTGCTGTGTAGTTTCTCTTACCATTGAGCGGGGAAAACGAGGAGTTCAATGATAGCTGGAGCAGAGTTTGAAAAATCCTTGTTTGTCCTGGAGAGCAGGAGATGGGTAGAGAGCGGAGATTCACCAGATGGATGCTAGGCAACGGCGTTCGAAATCCGTGCTGCCTGAGCTTCACGAGTGCGCCGGCTCTCTTCCCCCGTCTGCGCGTCCTGAAGCGCTTGCAGCGCCGCTGCTCCGCCAACTACGACGTTCAGCAAAACATCCAAATAATCGAAATCCGGTAGAAGATTTTGTGGTGTGTTCTGCCGAATGTGCAGCAGTTCATCCCTGGTAAAACTGATCGTGTTTGAGAAACAAAAAACAGGAAAAACGAACAAAAACAGTACAAACACTGGAGAGCCAAGCACTGAGGCGGCCGTGTACGGCGCCATCTTACTATCTAGCATCTTACTACTATCTTCCTTGTAGTCTTTTATATTGTGCAGCACTTTGGTCAACGTCCGTTGTTTTTGCTATATACAGTAAATAAATATTGGTTTGATTAATTGATTGAATGCATGCAGCTGCTCAGCCATGCAAACCCATTCCACGAAGCTCCCGCTCTGCAGTTTTGGAGCTGATATTAATGCCAGTGGACGTCTGGTGACTTTTACACACCATGGCTTTACATGGTTTTCTGCCATAAATCTTTACAGTATAACTGCAAGAGAAATGCACAGAGCACTTTGTTAAATAACAATAAATCAATTTCATGTTACATGTTTTACTCATCAAATATTATGTGACCTCTGGTTTTATTCAGACGTCTAGTGGTGATATGAACTGTAAGTTCTCACTGCAGTGATTCATTGAAGAGAGTACTAGTCTTAAAATTCATTTATTTGTTATTCATTTTGTGTTCATTGTTTCCAGCATGTATCAGAATCTTCCCGAAGCATGGATCATCAATTGATAAAACCAAAAAGAGGTACAGTAAAGACACTTCCTATATGCAAGAATCTTCGTAAATAGCATCCATACACACAAATAGTTCACAAAAGCTGTAGAAGCTAGAAACAAGTGAAAATGATTTTCGTGAAGTCACCAGTGTAAAATGTAAGTGTGAAAGTGATGCTTCTATTGTTCAAATACAAATAAAATATTAAACAAAAGCATTCCAAGTATTGATCATAGAAATGTATAAATAGTAGAAATGGCTTAAACAGTGTTTTATAAAATATTTTTGAGCAATATCACAGAATGCAGCTTATCACAGCTGTGCTAAGTATAAAAACAACACAGTTGCAGGTGTGATTGCTTTTAAATAAATGTGCAGTAAGTACGGAGTTACTTTAATTTCAGACAGAATTTGGATAGTTTGTAATTATAGTTGTTGTTGTAGTTATTAGTATAGCTATTAGCACTCTTGTAATGCTAATCAAATTAGAAGGCTGAAACCAATGGTATGAAACTAAAATGCAACATAAATTACAAATCCCAAGTGCTCATACCCAGCACAGCAGGTTGAGATTCATGCACACTGCAAAATCTACTTTAACTGTACAATAACTTACATTTTCTATCACTACAACAGCACACACATATTTCCATTTTTATCATGTGCACTGACAGGTTGGGAGTGCCTTCTAGTGTGGAAAAAATGGTTAAATAATATATGATGCATTATATTCTTCTAAACAACTTTGAAGATATGAACATTTTATCAAACTTGGGATCCCACAAAGGTCCCTATGAGCATATACAATCATGTCAGTACTAAAATGTACAGATGTTTGATATTGCAGTAAATATATTATGTCAAATTACACAAATAATTCTTTTGGACATTTTGCAGTAAAAACAAAATAAAGATCTCTTGATTGAAATAACATAAATACAATTACTTGCTGTTTACTTTAAATTATTATCATAGAAAATGGCAGCATTTTTTCCAGTGTAATCTTTTAAATGTATTCATTAAAATTAAAATATTACTCAAAGGTATATCCAGCTATATGTAAAGGACATACATATGTATATGTGAAACTTAAAATGCGATTAATGCAGTCTTAAATTTCTCTGATTGTTTGACAAGTGCCATCTTGAGGTCATGTACATTTACGATTTTTGATAGTTTACATTCTGATAGATACTGAGTGCTGCTGCGTTCTGGTAAATTAAGTCCACATTGGTTCCAGTTCTTGATCGAATTATGTCATATGCACACTGGTGGAGGTAAACATATTGCTCCTGTTGTAGAAAACAGAAAATAGTGTAAAAATATTAGTCTTCTTTACTTCAAGTGGCAGTTTCTTTGTAGAAGTACAACAAATGTCAGCAGCAATTTCTATGTAAATGTCATCTTAAAGGAGTATTCTGGGTTCAGTACAAGTGAAGCTCAATCAGTTACATTTGTTTCATAATGTTAATTACCACAAAGATAATTTCCACTTGGCCCTCCTTTAAAAAAAAAAAAAAAAAAAAAAGCAAAAGGTCACAGTGTTTGGCTAAGTAGTATAGTTAAGTAGAATATCTACTTGACGTAAACAATAAGCATTTTAACATACAATATGAAAAAAATGCTTATTATGGCTTTTCTGTGTAACATCATATCCTATTTTACAACTCTGTCACTGTGACAGCTCGTCATAAATCCTACAGTGATTATTTTAACAGCTTCACAGTTAAAATAATACAATACATTCAACAGAATAGTTTGGGCTTTAGATACATCATTGGTCCAGATGGACCATAAAAAGTTGCAAGCTATCCAATCCTAACCTACTCCAACCACCAATAAAGAATGCTTCCTCAGCTTCTCGAACTCTAACAGATGCCTATTCTGAAACTTCATCTCCATTGTCATTCCCCTCACCGTCTGAAGTGGCTCAAGCCTTCCAGCAACTAAAGAAGGCATTCACCTCAACCGCGTCATTTTTGGGGAAAAAAAAATGTTTTCCACCAAGCAAAAGTATGATATTGGCAACTGGGAGCTACAGTACTTACGCATGCATTCCAGCAGTGGCACCACTGGCTTGAGGGTTCCAACCATTCGTTCCAGGTCATCATACCTGGAATCCCTCTGCGATGCCAAATAGTTGAACCCTCACCAGGCCTGGTGGCCCTTGTTCTTCTCTAGATTCAGCTTCTTTCATGTATCATCCAGGGTCCAAACATACTAGCATTGATGCTCTCTCACCTCCATTCTACCGATTATCCAGTCTCTGCTCCAGAATTCATTCTTCCAGACTTTGTTCTTTATCTCTTCCACCATTAGCCCCATCCATTGGACCCTGGGTGAACAGATAACCCAAGCCACCACAACAGAAACTGTGTGTTCCTGCCGCCCCGTGGAACTAACTCCTGGACTCCTTGCACTCCTCTCTGGGCTCTGGACATCCAGGGACAACCCAACCCCTTTCCCAGGTCATGACCAACCTTCCTCCCTCAGTAGTCAAACCTGTATCCGGATGGCTGTTTCTCTAAGACCTGCCACCTCGTTTCTTTAAAGGGGTTACCAACAGCTTTTGAGACCGCAGAAATATTGCTTCATCATGTCTTATGGAACTACAGACTCTTGGAAGTCCACAATTCATATGCAAAGTCTGGAAGCTTTCTTCAAGCTGCTGGCCACCACTGACAGACTTTCTTCAGGCTATCATGCCCAATTTCCCAGTTCCTCAGAACTTACTGCCATCAACATCAGCAGTACTGGAGTCGCTTCCTGTCCTTGGCTTAATATGCCCAAAACTCTCTCTGCCAGCCATCCATGGGTATGACACCATTCCTGTGTGTCCTCCAGTGTGATTTCAGCCTTCTATGTTTTCCCTGGTCCCTGCTTCTCTGTTTCGACCACAGGTACCAACGGCATGTACAGCTGCAGTGTGCTGTCTGACATCAGAAAGGCCATTATGATGCCCAGTGATCGGACACTCCTTTCTAGCAGTTCGGACAGAAAGTCTAGTTATTTACATGTGACCTCTATCTCTGTCTTCCATGCAGAAAGTAATGTCCTCGATACACTGGCCCATTCGTGCTAAGCATCCCAGACTTCAAATGCCGAAGGTCCCTCAAGATGACATTCTGAAACATCCCTACTCAAAATGTTCCACTATGATCATCACAAACATCCAGCTCCTCAGAAATGTGGTCAACTAGAGCGCCCCTCCCCCTCACTTATCCTGGACTTTGGATCATGTACATTTGTTCAAAATTAACCAGCTCATCAAGAACTCTGTATAGACTTGTCACATGCTCACCCTCATAGTCTTAAAAAGAGGACTCTCTGATTGCACTACTCTTCAGTAGTGTTGTCTTCATGACTCCTTTGTGGATCCTCTTTGTACCATTGTACCATCATTACCGCCACCTGCATTACCATTGTGTCATCTTCTACATCTGTGTCAGATTTCTACCACCTTTCCTGCTCCTCCTGCTGTTCACCCGTGTGTTCAATAAAGAACCCAAGCACTTGGGTTCAAAGAGTCATCTGGCTCAGTCTGCTTTGTTACAGTAAGCGTTTGTATAAAATTACAAGCCTCACATTTCTGCTCTAAAACTGGCTGCATTTACTACCATTTTAATTGCCTCAATGTAACGTCCAGTTTTTAAAGGAGGTACAAGCTTAATTTGTACTGATCCCCAGAAAATTACTCTGCAGTCCCTTACCTCAGTCTGCACCATAAGAGGCCTGTGCATGCGCATATCATTAACGATTCCGTAGATGTCCACCATGCTGTCTCTTTCAATCTGTAAGATCAGGTGGTCAATGGCAATGAAGGTCCCCGTTCTACCCACACCGGCACTAAAAAGTGTGAGGGTCAAATATTTAGATGAAAGTTTAACAGATGGAAAATTTTAAATTCTCATGTTTGCATTGTAATTTAATTCATGAATGGTTGTTTATAGGAACCTAATTTACCTGCAGTGCACCACAGTTGGCGAGTGACGTGAGTACTGCTCCATGTGTTCTCTCACCAGGTGTCTGAAGTCAATGAGGACTTCAGTGGTCTGTGGAACTCCATGATCTGGCCATGCCGTAAAGTGGAACTGGCGTACATAGCGAGATTCTGCTGTTTTCACCTACAGAATTATCAGTCATATTATTCTAAAATATTACTGATTTAAAAACAACAACAACAATTTTCCACTCCTGTATGCTATTGAAGGAATAAATGGAGATATCAAGTGCATGAAGTGTTGCTTTACATTTTTGATTCTAAAGTCTCTTATTGTCCAACTCTCCAGTTCGATCTCTGAGGTGGTCGTCACAGAGATGTTATGATAATGATTAGTCCCAGATGGCCAGTACTTCTCACATTTCACCTGGAGAAAATGACAGAGTGCTGGTTATCTTTACTCTGAATATACATTTTCACATTTCACATTGACCACTTTTCATGTGACTAATAATATTTCACAATGAAAACTCACTCGTCCCATCTCATTGCATTTGGTTAGCATCACTATGGTGTAGCCGTTCTTCTCCCAGACCATTCTCCAGAATTCATTCACTGTGACGGGTAACGGACCCTGAGCTGCTATAAACTCCTTTCTTGAATTGTAGCCCTGATTAAAAAAAAAAAAAGGTAAAACCCTGGTTAGAGATGACTAGAAAAAAAAAACGTTTCAGGCAATTTTACTTCTGTTTATATACCCACTGGGATGTAGTTGGCATTGATGTAGTCATCAAAGGGACTGCCACACATTGACAACTTCACTCTTGAAGCATCATCTGATAAAGGCAAACGTGATGCAATTAGTATCAGAAAGTAATTATTAATTAACTAAAAATATGCATCTGATTTTGTATAAAGTTACATTGTAGCATCATACCTGCCATGTTCTGTTATACTCAAAGGACTCTTATTTTGATATTGTTTTGTCACATATTGTCTGTATACATTTCCAGTTTTTCTTAGTTTCTGTGGTTTCTGATTGTTATCACCTGTGTCTAGTTTAGATAATCATAATTATCATGTGTTTCTACATTGAATGTACTTTTGTTCGTTGTTGCTTTGTTTGTTTTTTGTTGTTTATTTCCTTAAAGCTACAGTATGCAACTTTTGGCCCTCTAGCAGTTACCAAATAAAACGTCTCTAGGTTACGTATGTAACCATGGTTCCCCGAGCGTGCTTCAGAGCGCGGTCACGCAAGGGCGTTCCCAAAGTGACTCGACGCAGCTCGAGTTCCTGAAGGGGAACTACATGCATCTTGGTGAAGAACATTGTTTTGGTTGTGCTTTGGCTCTGAGCCTCAAGAAATGAACTGAAAATGCATCTGTCTTTGTGCAAAATGACCATCAGCCAGCTAATCAGATTGAAGCCTGTGATTGAGGAAAACTCATGCCACCTTTTAGTACAACATGCAACAGTCAGTGTACTCACAAGGTAACACATTGCTGTAACGGTTCTTCGCCTTGTTTTCAATAGCCAGGGCGGTGTTCTTTGACTGTGCCGTTCCAACAGTTTTCAACTCCTGCAACAACATAGCACTTCTTTAGGTCTTGACTTTGAAAACACTAATTTATCAAATAATTTATGTGGCAAGTCCTGAGTAAACTGTTTGATATTATTATCATAGGAAGCAGACCGTAAATTAAATAAATTTAATTAATTAAAAAATTAAAAAATAAATAAAATACAATTATATATATATATATATATACATATATATACATGTGTGTATGTGTGTGTGTGTTTCCCATGTGTACCTCATACTCTTCAGCAAAACCACAGTTGGAATCTGCATGTTTCCGCTTAAAGTACTCTTCATAATCTTCTATTCTCAAAGCAATATTACTGTGTACCATAAAACAAAAACAAACACATAAAAGCATACAATAAATTGTAAAGAGTCATGTTTCAACATTAAAAATTCATAGATTAATAATAAAATGTGACTTACATTTTATCGCTGGAAATAGAAAGAAAAAATGAATGCATTAACAATTTTAAGTTTTGTCAAATAAATGTTTAACTATAAACATATCAAACAAAGTTACCTAATGGTGTGTACAGGGATGTCAGGACATTGTTTTTTGGTTTGTCTGGAACAGAGAGTAATAAAGAAATGTTACTAAAATGAATCTGGAAGACTTCTGTATCTTGAGCTCTATCCAGTATTCAATTCTCTGATGACACTGAATGCAACTCGCCTTCTTGAATAGAAGAAGAGAATGAGAGTGATGATGAAGAGAAAACAGATCACTGCCAAAACGACACCAACAATCAGCCCAATGTTAGACTTTGAGTTAGAATCTGTGGAATCTACATGAGAATATGATAATAAATGTGATTATATTATTAAACAAGTTCCTAATGAAGAAACAACAGTAATGTGTTTAAAGTTTTTTTTTATCAGAATAAAGACATTGATTATAATATTAACCAGATCACTTAATGAAACAAGATGACATGCTAATATACACTGAGATGCAATAGGTTAGCCTTAAAAAACACACAATCTGTTTTATTTCATTTTCTGAAGGAGGTTACATTGAAACTCGCAACATTATTCTAATATTTGTTGTGGGACCTTTGGATTGTGATCAGATTTGTACAAAGTTATTTAGGACAGATATTTTAGAATTTTACATACTGGTAAATTGTGAGATGCAATGAGTTTCTCCTTTTGTTGATTTATCTGCTGTCACAGCAGAGATGCAGAATGTGTAATTGACTCCAGCAGTCAGACCAGTGATGAGAGAGGAATTGTTAGTAGTTTCTGTTGAATTTCCATTCGTTTCACCAGTTCTTTCAAGCATACTTTTCTTAGTCCATTCAATTCTAAAAAAATCTCTATTTCCAAATGGTTCATCCCATGTCAGAAACACAGATGATATTGTGATTTCAGTCACTTTGAGATTCCTGATCACATCTGGCTCTGTGTGGGGAAGTGAAAAATAAATGTGCTGGTGAAAGTGGGAATTATAATTACACAGTTACAAGGCTGTGTAAATGTAATTTCACCAAAATTTGAGAGCATCAAATGTACACTGTGCAATTTTATGTCCAAAAAAAGTAAATAGGAGATGCTGACAAGGTAACACTTCAGTTTAGGGACTGATTCTCACTATTGAATAGTTGCTTATTAACATGCATATTACTAGCATATTGGCTGATTATTAGTATACATATTAATGCCTTATTCTGCATGACGATATTTTAGATCCCTCAATCCTACCCCACACCTAAACTTAATAACCACCTTTATAATTATTAGTAAGCAGCAAATTAGGAGTTTACTGAGGCAAAAGTCTTTATTAATAGTGGGAATTGGTCCCTAAACTAAAGTGTGACCGAACACGTACGTTACAGGAACCTCACATAAAAACAAGTAGATACTGATAAAAATTTGATAACACTTTTAGAATAGGGAACACATATTCACTATTAATTCAGAGTTTTTCCTCAATAAACTCCTAATTTGCTGCTTATTAATAGTTAGTATGGTAGTTGTTAAGTTTAGGTATGGGGTGGATTAAGGGATCAAAAATATGGTCATGCAGAATAAGGCATTAATAATTTCTTTATAAGTACTAATAAACAGCCACTATGCTAGTAAAATGCATGCTAATAAGCAGATAGTTAATAGTGAGAATTGGTCCTTAAAATAAAGTGTTACTAAAATTGTATTAGTAGAAAAAAATGGTGGGTCAATTTGTTTAAAAATTCTATTTAGCAAAGAACAGATCATTTATTTTTACATACTGGTATATTTTGAGATGCAGGAAGTTTCTCCTTTTGATTTATCTGCTGTCACAGCAGTGATGCAGAATGTGTAATTGACTCCAGCAGTGAGACCAGTGATGTTATAGAGAGTGTTACTAGTTTCTATTGAATTTCTGTTTGTTTTCTCATCAGTCCAATTAATTTTAAAGAAAGATCTATTTTCAAATGGTTCATCCCATGTCAGAAACACAGATGAGGTTGTGTAGTCAGTCACTCTGAAATTCCGGATCACATTTGGCTCTGTGTGGGGGAGAGAGACATAAATAATAAGTAGTGGTAAGGAAATTATAGTTATGATTATATAAAACATTTGTTTCTGTGAGCATAAGATGTTGCTGGTTTCTGCTCAAAGCAAAGGGGGAGGGGGGCTGGGATTGGGGAGGCTTGATTCCTCTTAAAGGGTATCAAAACAACAGTTGGGGCCTGCCACTAAGTCCGTATTGGAACCAACGCTTACTTCCCTGTCTGTCCTGAAGTTAATTCCCACCCTTATGCCCACCCCAAAAGACCTGCTGGAGGTAAACACATCTACCGTTCCCTTTCTCTGACCCTGGCCCTCCTACCTACAAGCAATGCTCACCTGAACTGTTTTCTTTCCTTTGTGATGTCACAAGTCATCTGTTCTTTTATGTTTAAAGACCCTTGTTTTGATATGTTCACTGAATTTTTATTTATCTGCTGTGTCCTGATTGTAAAAAAAATCATACAAAGTAGAAATACATATAGGACGAAATGTGAACTGGTGGGCCAAATTAACGACCAAGAGACTGGTAAGAGGGAAGGCAGTATTTGGATTTTTTTTTTTCTATTTTTTGTTCAGAGACTCTGAGTTTAACGTTTATTTTGTTGTTGTCTTTTCATGTATTTATTTTTCTTGCTATGTTATTTTCTATATTTAGTATGCTCTCATTTGTTTCTATAGTTACTTATTTGTTAATTGATTAGTCCTACTGTTCCTTGTTTTCTCTCTCATTTTCCCTGTGTATTTATACCCCCAGTTCTGTTCAGTTCGTTGTCTCTTCTCATCTTTGGATTAATAGAGGTACTGCTAACAACTAGACTGACACTGAACCCCTTTAATTTCCATGCCTTGAACAGCCAACCATGATAGTCAAGTAGTTTAAATGTGCTTTGTAGTAAGAAACATGTATTTTAGAATTTTGCATACTGGTAAATTGTGATCTGCAGACAGTTTCTCCTCCTGTTGATTTATCTCCAGTAACAGCAGTGATGCAGAATGTATAATTTACTGCAGCAGTCAGACCAGTGATGTGATAGGAAGTGTTAATAGTTTCTGTTGAATTACCACTTGTTTTATTATCAGTCCACTGAAGTTTAAAGAAAGATCTATTTCCGGCTGGTTCTTCCCATGTCAGTAACAGAGATGAGGTTGTGATGTTGGTCACTCTGAGATTCCTGATCACATCTGGCTCTGTGTGGAGAGAGATGGACAAATCATAAATACTGGTGAGAGACGGCGTAAAAACATGTAAGACTGGTACAATCATTCATAAAGCATTTATAGCATTTGTAGGTGCTTAAGATGCTGCTGTACAGTTTTCTGCTCAAGGCAAGAAATTATGAGATGTTTTCAGGGCTGAAGTTTCAAAAGAGTCATTCAGATTAAACATCCAATCAGAGGTCTTACTGGTATACAGTGAAATCTGATTGCCTCTCCCCTCGGTCACATGATCAGCTGCAACTGCAAACACTCTGAATGTGTACTGTGCTCCGGGAGTCAGATTATTTATTTTGATGGAGGTGTTTTCAGTAGTCACACT